ACGATTGACACGGACAAAAGTGACTGCTATTTTTATCGTGTGACAATTTTTAATTGCTTCATTAGAATTTCTCTAATTAGCCTCGCTGCATCAAGACCGTTAACATATTCCTATATGCTACGTCAATTCATTTTAAGGTACTAATTAATTTTATCAAGTAGGTTTGTCTGTTGACTTTGTCGTATTTATCGACTGTGCGATAAGGATAAATTTGTAATTGTACGTAAATCGATGTCCTCTCTCTCGTACCCATGGCGAAAGACTATCCTGATTAGACAATAAGACTGAGAATAACCGTGATAGATGAGCCAGTTAACTTGTATTAAATGAAATTGAATTATTAACGAGTGCGGTTTGGATTTAACCATAGCATAACTCTGGCTTTGATCCTCAGGGGGCCTGTGCCCCAGAGAATCTTAATAAAGAAAATTCTAAATTCCAAACTCTCTCTCTCTCTCTCGGCTCTCCGAAGAAGCTTGACTTTTTGCCTTTCGTCGGCGTCTCCGCCTGATTGGCTGTAGTGGCTTCTTCAAAAATTGGATACCTTCAATCGGAAATGGCGTTCGGAAGAGTGGCTGGAGTCGTAAGGGTTACGGAGACACTCGAGCTTCTTGATTTCTTCCATCTCCACCCTTTCTTCGTTTTCTTTCCTCCGTCCCTCTCTAACACGTTGCGCCTTACGGGTCTCGGTCTTCTACCCTCTACCCTCGCCGAGCTTCCTTTTTCCATGGAGGAAACAGCTAGGAGTAGAATCGCGGGCACTTTCATTTCCTCGGGTTTGCCATGACACACGCGTGGGTGGCGTCAGTCTTGGCGGGGGGTTGTGAGGTGCTGCGAGGTACCGCCGTGGAAGGGGTAGCGGGTGCACGCTGGGTCCGCCAAAGCCAGGGGGCGGAAGGTGCGCCTAGGGGGTGGGACTGGGTGGCGGGGGCTCCGTGAAGGCAATTATTATTTTGAGTGGTTGGCGACGGGGCGCGGTGATATTTTATTTAAGACACAATCGCCTAATAGCTTGCTTCAAGGGGTAGATAACTCCGCGCAGCTCCGTGGCCGGCGGGGGGATGGTTGGAGGGGTGGCTGAAGTAAGAGGTGAGCCAGGGGTTCTTCCAGGCTAGTGGGCGTCAGAGCGGGAGAAAGAAGGACGGAGGGATATTAAAGGGAGAAAAACAGAGGGTGAATTCTCACCACCCACCGGTGCCAGCGATACTCGGGGTGGAAGCTACATTAGTAAATTACCCACGCGAGTGGGTCCCGTGCTTGCACCCTGAACTTCCACTCTAAAGAGTGATACATATTGTGCTTTGCCTTCTTCCTACGTTCATCCTATAATTTTTACAAAAGTTGACGTTTATCTTTTATTTTTTTTTTTTTTTCATATCAAAGACGTCACATGGGTTCTTATCGGTTCTGAAAATTTACCCTGTCGCAGGGATTGACTTTTTTTTCTGTTTTTATGGAAAACTTCTTTTTCCAATTTTCGAGGAAAATTTAGACTTTTGCCCACGGCATTTTGACGTTGCACGATTCTTCGGGGGGTAATAAGTAACGAATTGTCCAAATCCCTGAAAATTAAACAAACAACTTTCGGAAAGAGGGAGGGGAGCGTGAGAGGTTCAGCAGCGCCACTTCCGGGACCGGTTCTAATTAGACGTCCAACCCCGTAAATAAGGCAGGCTTTACTTACGGCTACACTAGGGGTTCGTTGGCACTATGGGGGATGATTTCGAGAGCACTTAAATTCGAGGAAAAGTCAGATACGCTTTCGGAAATTACATTCGCTGCAAGTAGCCATGTATATAACGCATTTCTGTGGGTTTCAAAAATTCAAACGAAATCGTAACAAAAAAATTTTAACCCCGTTGTCATTATCAGTTCGGTCTAATCGGAGCACGGGATACCATACGTGTCTTTAATTTTTATGTCTACCACTCGGAACTCACCCTTTTCGATGTTAACCGACCTGGTGCAATTCCTAATTAAAGTTCCACCCCTATCAATTTGGTTATTTAAGATAAGTTGAGCTCCCAGGACGTAGGGGGCTTTAAGGCGCTTGTAAGTTTCAAGGGGTCTTACTCCTCGCTAAGATCGACTAGTACGTACCCTATACCTATTTCAACCTTCCCACCTAAAACTTTTGCTCCGATAGGCACAAAGACGTAAGCTTCTGCTCTCAAAGGTAGCATCCGTTTTAAAACACGTGGAATTCAGTTCGGGCCAAGTTTTAAAAATTTCCTCTTTTTTCCTTTATCGTTCTACGTGCCCCTTACGTCTACATACACGTGTTTCTCTAGGAATTATTAATTAATTTTTTCTCTAGAATCAGGCCGCGACATCAGCTCCACTTTTAGGGGACTTAGTTACTCGTCAGTCCATAAGAAAATGGCCCCTCAACGTGGACCTGCTGTCATGGCTCGACTGATGCATGCATGAAACTCCGATTAACTATTTACAAAGATAATTCAAGCGGGTAAGATTGATTTCTAATCGTATCAGGATAATGGCTCCTGTTTATTTTATTCCTTCTTTCTAAGGACTTACGACACACTGTCGCTCACTCGGGTTCTCCTTTTCTATCTTATTTCCCATATAACGCATTACCTGTGTCCCGATGGGGGTTGCGTACTTGGTCTCTGGGTATATGGGGTGAGCAACCAGGACAGGGCTGGCGGTGGTAGTTCTTGGTTAGCAATTAGGGGGTAACACGGGGGCCCACTTACTGGATCCCCAAGGGGTTCTCAATCCGTTTATCAGAATTCACTTTGCGTAAATTCACACGAGACATTTTCGACTGAAATACCACGTATCTTCAAAGATTTCATTAACTTCTTAGAATCTCATAATACCTGCTTCCATTTACTTTTTAAGGTACGGAGCTTTTCAGTCGAGTTGTTATCAATACTTTCATCTTACGTAACTGCACAATTTCCGGTTGAGAATCTCTGATAGCTGAAGACGTAATGGCCAAGTTTTGGACGCGGTCGCGTTTAAGTGCCCCCCCATCCCTGTTTCAGTCTCTATGCATCCCTCAAACCACCTACCCCTACCCCGGCCATTTCACTGTACACAAAACATTAATTTCTACGAATAATAAAAATACATTAATTACAAATTTTTTTTAATTACATGAAAATTTACAAAAATTAAAATTTTTTCGTGCCATATCTTTACCCACGTACCATAGCTTTATCGTATTTGTATCGCATGCCTAATACACTATAAAAAATATTCCTATTAAATAAAAAGAAAAAAATGCAAAAAGCATATCCGTACGCGATTACGTAAAATTAGTGCGTTCAGCGAGTCGAGCTCCACTCAAGTCCATTCGTAATTGAGGAGCAAGAATAATTAAAATTATCAGGACACGCGACTGTCCCAGGAGCATGAACGCCGTTTGTTGCCGTTGCGGATGGTACGGCGTGTCATGGCGTCCTGAAACTTTGAGAAATAATTGACGACGACACGTAATTATCGCAGTACAAGCCAGGGCCGTGTAACGGACGGCTTCATCGACTGGCATGACCAGGCAGAATACACCTGGGGGTCTTTTTCTAGGTTCTTACCTTTTTACTTCATTTTTGATCCTCCTTCTCCCTACCTTACTCCAGCAGCGAGTACTGATCTCCGCGATCCATTATTAATTGTATACGAGAAGTTTCACGAGAACGACAAGAATATACGAAACGAAGCCAATTACTTCCTATATAGAAATATTAAATTATTCAATTTATATGGTTTACGTATCAATTTAACTTACCTTGTATACTTACGTATATGTAGGATATGCTACAAATATTTCGCGATACTCACGATAATAAATCACCATTAGCGGATACCTTGATACGTTCTAATCAGATACACTGTCCAGGTAATATCTCGATACTCTCTAGGCTAAGCCATATGTAAACTCCATTAGGACCAATCATATTTGTCAGCTTTTAGCTACGATTAGGTATTTATCCCCATTAGGCACGTCCCACTTGTCGCTTTAGCTTCGTCACTGGTCGAGTTGCGTGGATAATGCATACTTATAGGTATATGGAGTATTATAAATATATAATCATACCTGACGTACAGTATCTCCAGGCTAACCTAAGTTTCAGGGTTGAATTAGAAATTTTAGGAAATTACATTTAAATCTTAATAATTACTGCTTGTCCTCTGTATGAAAGCTTATAAGTGTCTGAACGCTAGCCCTGTTACGTAATAAGGTATTATTGTCGATGAATGGAGGAATTGTAAAAAATATTATTGAAAATTTCTTAGCTCAAGGGTAGTAAAAGTTTTCTCAGTGTCCGGGTCGTTTCATCCCTCTGAGCCAAGCTTATAACAATTTCAGCCCTTATTCAGCCTGACAACCGCAGGAACTTTCGGCTATACGAAGTTGTAGGAATTTTCGTCCCCCTAAAATGTGTTACACCCTAGATACGCTTATACATGGGCTGGCGCTGCTTGCATTAATGGATTAACAATAACCTAATGTTACGAGTCGGTTCTACCAAGCGACCCTCGTACGATCCTCTTTATATTTTATTAATATGGCCTCCTTTCCATCGACTTTATCAAAATTGAATTGAATGGAATTTCAGGCTGTTCAATTATAGAATTTTCTAGCGTATCTGCGTATTCTCAACTGCTTGTCTGTTTTACGTAATCAGACTTGGGCACGATAAGAGAGTGCGATCTCCACATACGAGTAATTAAGTCACTTTTAAAACACATTTTGGAAAACCAAACGTCGTTTTCTCACGTATGAATTTTTGCTAATTATAAATATTTTGATTAAAATTTAATTGAATTTAATTTTTCTGATTAATAAAATATTTTTCTTGATCGTACCTACACGCCAATTTGATTATCTGATTTATGTAATCATGATAACAATGGATGTCGTTAAATGGATCACCCGGTATATACAATGGATTTAGTTTATTTTTCTTTAAAGATTTTATTATGTTTTCTATATTCATACTGCTGGAAAAAAAAACTTTTTTTACTTTTTTTCACGAAATATATACATATATAGCTGTACATGTTATCTGAAAATCTTCCTTTGCACCTACCATTGCCTTGTATTCCTTTCGTTTCCATCGTTTCTCCCGGCATTCTCTCCAGAAATGTATTTTCAAATAGAGCAAAGCTGTCAAAAATTTGAAATTCAAATTCTTTAAGTATGCCCTGGGCCCAGACACCCCCTCTTACCGTCATCCGTTCTTCACGTTACTCCCATCACTGTCGAAGGTTCGTTTTGCCATCCTCATCCCCAACTCAGTCAGGCCATACAAGTCGCCACAGTGGTGTAACTTTCATGATTACTCCGTTATTACGAGCAATTACAGGGTGCCTCATTGCCCCATAACACGCAATACTCCATCTCGATGCCTATAATTTTTATTGGCATTATTACTAAAAAAAATGTTATCACCCCGAAGGGTTTTTTAATAATTAAATTTTTTTTATCATTATGAACAATTTTCATCGAGCGATCGATCAGAAATTTTTCACCCCCTAATGATAATTCACATTTGTACTTCGTAGTTCAATATAGAAATGCATCGATACCATTCGATCAGTCCACAGTTAAGAGTCGCGAAATTTGGTAAAACGTCAAAATTTATTATTCCCTCATTTAAATATTAATAGCACATACATTCAAAGCGTACTGCAGAATTTGGTACTAATTTAGCATTTTCGATAAAGCTATTTGCTCTTCGTTTACCAAATAGGTGCACACACCCCTGTAACCGTTATTGCACCTGTCCACCCTTTTTTTTACCACTGACAAAACCACCCCTTTGTCTATGTATATATATACGCATATACATTAAATTTTTTTGTTCTTTCTCAATTGCACCGAAGCGTTGCGATCCGTTGTATTTGACCAGGCAACGTCGATACACCCCCTGCCCATTGTTTACGCCAAATTGAATGCATTGAAAAAAATTAATATGAACATTGTGTACCGAAGCCCCGAATTCTCTCCGTGCTATACGATCGTTTCCGTTTTTTCCTATATCGCCACTACCACTATCGTATACGAATCGAGAGCGGGCGCATACGTATTGCGTGCAAGGGTGCACGGTAATGCGCGTTGGAAACGCATCATTTGCCTCTAATAAAAAACAAATATATTTAAATGCAAAATTGCATTCGTACATGACAAAGCATTCATGGTTCGAGCATATATGGTCTGCACGTGTATAATATATTATATAATAATAGAAAAACATAAATACATAGAACATACTGCCAGACCTTTAATTTTATGAATTTTGATTATTCTTTCACGATTCTTATTTATTAATCTTTTATTGTTTTTTTTTTTTGAAAAAATTTCATGCCCCCTCCATCAATCTTAATTATCATGATTTTTATGTAATTATTGAAAATTTGCCTGTACCATTCTCTCTCGCTCTCTCTGCTTCTATCGCACTACCATCTTGCGAAAATGCAAGCTTGGTCCAGCAGCATGGGAAGAGGGTAACTTTTTAATTAGATCGATGATCCCACAGGAATGGCTTCACTCCAGGAAAGCCGACGCGTGTGGCTTGCTCGGTACCTCGGTAACTTGAATGAAGCTTATCCAGAAGGCCGCCCTTTCCCTCTCCTTACGTGGGTGGGAGCGTTAATTAATTAATAAATTAATTTAGTTGGAGCTTGCAAGTAGTGGAGTAGAGAGCAGTAGGATGAGAAGGGGAAGGAGGTAAGAGTGGGAGGTACCAGGGAGGGTGGAGATTTCGAACCGAAGTAGGGGATGGTTATACACTAGGGGATGAGAAATATCTAGTATTGCGAATAAGGGTGGGAATGTATTGGTTCAATTATTAATAATGTTAAGGAATGGGTAGTTGAATAATCAGTGTGTGTACTCCCCACCAACCCACCCCCTATCCTTAGTTACCCCTCTAAATTTCACTCGCTCAAACCACTTATCAATTCTCTCTTATTCTCTTCCCTTACCTGCCTTACCCCCCCCCCCTCGAAACCCACTGAGCTCGTCCCTTGATCTACGAGGGGTTTATTAAATCCGAAACTTTCCACCCCCCCCCCCCC